ATATCTTCCAAAGATTTGTACAGATTTGATCAATTTGCATAGCAGAAATAAGTACTCAAGCCCCTTGTGGTTTTCAAGGACAGCTGTTTTCTCTAGCTGTTTCTCTATGATTAAGGCTTAGGGAAGGACACAGAGTGATGAGAAATACAATTTCTACCTTTGGAAGATTTAACAGGCATGCTGGAGATTTTTACATTTCCTGCATTTTCTTTTTTTACAGTTACAGAGTAAGAAAGACTCCACCAACAAGCTGCATAAAAAAGAATAGCTCATATGTCAAAGGCACATTTTACTTGAATATATTTCAAGAAAGGATTCTAATATTCATGTTTGTACATACAAAGTTTCATTATAAAGCCTAAGTACATATAAGCAGGTTCCCCTAAAATCCAGAGATATAACAAATTCTCTGTGAATTTAAACGTTTCTCTACATGTAAACATATTTAAGAATGCTTGTGTTTTGATATTTCTATATAGTATTATCTTATACATCTCAGCATTTCTTTGTTGGCATATTCAAGGCTTGATATTTACATGGAGAGGAGAGTCTCTGAATTCGTTTGAGAAATACATCATTTATCTTGAAGTTATCCAGAAAATTTGGCAAGCCATTAATACTTTTGAAGAGAAATGTAGGCCCTATTTCTCCAGTGTAACTATGCTTGGAGATCTGTCTTTCAATGTATCCCTACGTGTAGGAAAGGTTGAGAAAAAAGAGAAACTTAGAATCATGCTTTTGCCTTGCATTCAACTTTTATTAAAAGGATAGAATCCTATATACACATTTTGAGATTATAAACAGGTACAAAGGCTGGGATAGTTTTGTGGTGTCTGCTGTGGCCTTTTATGAGACTGTTGCCAGTGAGATGCATTATTTACCTAGGAGACATTGATTCAATATTTATTTAAACTAGTATGTAAATAAAAAATGAAATAGTGCTTTCCATGACTTTTTTAAATCTTTGGTTAGTTTGGAGGACTTTATCCCTTTTTTATGCCAAGAATAGCTAATTTTCATGAACTTCATGAACCCCGTATTTTCCAAAGTCAAGGCTCAGATCAGAGCTATACCCACAAGTGTATCACCAAAGTATAAGTTTTAAATCCTAGGTCAATGATTCTCTATAGATCACACTGAGCTATTCTAAAGGAAATAGTTTATATAAGTAATCTTCCTAAAAATTACTTAAAATGTAAAGTAAGCTCTGGTTTATAAATTTTCAAACTCAAGTCAATCTAAGTAATATTTGTTTTTCTAATTGCCATAGATGGCAGGAAGTAATGGAACAAGTGGCCAGCTTATTTTCAGGTATCTTCCTGTATAATTCTTTTTATGTAAAATGGATGAAAACTGCAGGCATTGCCAGACAACTAAGGGAAATTAAAGAGGAATTGCTGTAGAAACAGCTTTTTTACATAATTGCATCATACGTATTACTCTCTAGCCTACAAATGGTCCAAATTGTCTGAAAACTGAACAGGTCAAATATTTGTGCGCAGCCACTTTGCCAAGTGTGGGTTACTTGGTATCTTTGAATATTTATGACTATCCCTTCATTACTTATCTCCTCCCATTCCCTGTACTGGTTGTCTAGCACAACCTAAGTTTTTTAAATTTTTTTTTCAGTTAGAACAGATACCAAGAATAAAATCAATGAAGTCCCCACCTGCTAAATGAAGCATGAGTGTGAGTGTATATGTGTGTCTGTGAGAGAAATCAGAATATCCAGAGTCTTTGACAAAATTTCTCTGCATACACTTCTTATATGTACACTTAGCTACCTAAACTGATTATTTAATGATTTTGATAGTAAACAACTGACTTTTAAAATTATACAAAAAATCTAAATGACATAAGACGTTGGAAAATAATAACAATTTTAAATTAGTTCCAGGGTTATATTAATTTTTTCAAGTATTGGTAGATTTAGCCATAACATTTTTATTTTTCCCTTTCAAAATGTAGCCAAGAAACAAACATCTTTCTTTGCTTTCTTTGCAGGAAAGAACCAGTCTCTGGATTATTTCCAGGCCATCCAGACAGCTATTTCAACTGGAACAAGTGACCTTTGGAACAGACTAGAACGTAGCAGCCTGGCCAGACAGAGAGGAGGGAGTAGTCAGCTGGGAAGGGCCCCAACATGTTCTTGTAAAATGCCATTTGAAGTAAGAGGACAATAAAAATTAAGGACAAATAAATGAGCTTAAAAATACTTAAAACCAATGAAAACTGTGTAATCACAATATGGGATTCAAGGAAAGATACAGTAGGAGTCTATAGCTCTCATTCTGTAATACACATGCTCAACAAATCTGTTCTCCATCCACCTCAGCATAAGAAATGTCTCTTAATTATATGATATTCATCTTTGAATCTTTACAGACTCTTTGAACCTCAGTACTCTCTTGTTTTCCTTCCCTCAGCTGGGCCCAATTTCCTTAGTCTATGATTCTATAGTGGCTGTTAGATGCTCTTAGAGAACTATCAAGATCTTTATTTAGCAAATTACTGTTGCAGTCAGATAAAAGTTAAAATAATAGCAAAGATTTCATCAGAGAAAACAAAGTGGTTATCTTCTCCTAACATTCATTGGAAGACATGTTGTTCTTTTCTTTCACAGAGAGCCTATGAAGTTTTAGCTCACATCGTTAGCAAGAAGCATGTTACATTGAACCTTTCTTGAATGCTTGTGGACAGCAGTGTTGTGCTTGGCACCACAGGATATAAAAATGTCAAGGCAATCTTTTCTTCAAGATTTTGGAGAATAAATAGAAATGTTACGAAAAAAGCTTTTAAAAGTATTTCTAAAAGATTTTCGAAGGTAGTATTTTATTTATTTTTGCAAAATATATTAATGATAATTCAACAAAGTACATATTACCAAGAAAATGCTATGGGATATCAGAATGCCCTCTAGCAGAGAACTTAGGTCCATTGCGTACTGGAGAATGCTTTTAAGAAGGTAACTCCTAGAGCTTCTAGCCAGGTTTTCTTTAATGAAAAAAGCAATATTTAATGCCTTATTGCATATTGCAAAGTGCTTATAGATAGACTTGCATGCGAACTGGAAAAGTTTGACTCAATGAGTTTTGAATATGCATCTGAATGAATGCCAAAAATGTGGCTAAGGGAAATAAAGTAAATTTTTCCAAATTTGTAGTTATAGTTATGGTGGTGCCATTAAGTGACACAAAACCCAATGTAATGGTATGGAAATTCCACTATTTCAACTTACGATGTAATGTCAGAAAATATTTGAAATGAGACATTAAACTCAACTCCTTCTTAAGTATGCCATATTTTGCATATTATTTAACTATGATTTAGGAAGTAGTGTATCTTAGAATCCAGGAACTAGAGTGGAAGGAAATGAATCCAGAGAAATGTAATGTCCATATTTCATAAGAAATTTACTTGAAAGCAAGGACAGAGAAGAGCATAAATTATTTTAGGTGGTCTCCTTATTAGAGTAAGGAAATCCACTTTGGATGAATCCAGACAAAATATGTTTTATATGCTGGATTTCTAGAAGTAGGTTACATTTGGACATTAATAATATAAGATCAAGACACAGAACAAGTATATAAGAATTAAGGTTTTGTTCCATTTATAAGATGGACAGTGAAGGAGAAAGTTCTTGTGAATTTGTCTGAGGATATCTAGGAAGGACACTTCGGTTAGGTCCTTCTTACCTGAGTTATGGGGATCTGAGGGCAATACTAGCCACGCTTATCTCAGCACTGTGTTAGCTGCCTATAAAGAGTGTAGTTTAGGTGGAGTCTGAGATTTAGTTGTCAAAATTGAGTCCAAGATTATCCAACTAATTTAACAGAGGTTGAAATCCAAAATCATGAGCAAATATTGAATTTGGAACTATATATGGAAACATTGGAACAGAAAAACATTAGCAGCCAGGTTTTTTTTTTTTCCATGATTATGTTAAATAACATCAAAAAGAGTAAAAAAAAAAAAAACACCTCAGAAATGTAACAATGTAAATCTATCAGAAATTCTATCTGAACATAAATTCCCATAATGTGACCAAAACTTTTTTTAAAAATTCAAATCCAAAATAAAAGAAAAAGAAGAGAAAATTGTTGCCATTGGACTGCTAGGTACCCACATTTAAACATAGTTAAATATAAGTATTCTCTGGGAAGATTTGGCTCACATGCTACTTTTGTACATGTTGGTTTTCACTCATTAATTCATGTATTGCCTAACTTGTCCCTTATGACAATAAACTAACTGAAGGCAGGAATCTGGTCGTCTTCAATTTAACAATGTTAAGTAGACAAACTTAAATCCAGTAAGCAAACTTACTAGATGTTTTCTTACCCACATGATATACGTTATCACATAAAGTGAATAAATAATAAACTTTATTCAATAGATTGATGAATTGTTCATTGGTGTGCAAATACTGCGCATGCGAATCCCGTGAATCTTTAAAATACTTAATGTTGTATTTTCCAAAGGCTCAAAACATCATGATATTCCAGTAAGCCACAACTCAGATCTTATTATCAACTCCACATTTCAAAACTTATCAGCCAACAAAGGTGTTATATTATTACTAGGCTAAAAAGGCTCTGAATTTGAAAAGAGATATTTACATAATACAGTTATTGCACCAGATGCTTCTAGTGAAATTACAAATGACATTATGACCTTTCTCACCAGCATGATCGAGTCCACTGTTTCCACAACTGAATGATATTTGCTTATGCAGGTAAATTGTGTGTGGGCTATAAGAAATTAAGCTAAAGTCCATTAATTCCTTTCCTTTCTTTTCCCTCTCTCCCTTCCTTCATTCCTTCTTCTTCTTCATTTTATGACCAGGAAACTTTGTCATGTACTTAGCTTCAGAATGTTTCTAACTTAACTCGCAATTATTTAATGAGTAAGTTATACCATTTATTTATTTAAAATCATTTATTCTCAGCAAAGTCAAACATATCATTGAGTTTACATAGAAATACAATTTTCAACTGGATCTTCATAAAAATGCACTGGTGAAATATATGTTCATAATTAATGATCAATTATGTACTATTTAGTCATGCCAGTAGCAGAATTGATTACCATCAAAAATTGGTAAAGTAACATATCTTAAGTGTGCAAATACCATTTGAGTACTCTATTGTACATTGATAATAAATGGCTGCTAAATATATACCTATTACATAAAGCTTTTTAAAGTACAATAAAAATACAAATTCTATCTGTTAAAAAAAAGCCATTGAAATGGCTTCTAAACATCCTCATTATACAAATTCCAAAATACTATATGACAAACAAAATTATAAAGATTCTTCATTATGAAACACATACTAACGTCTAATTAAGGTACAACTTAGCAGATAACAGAAAACAAACAAGAAGGCTTATATATACCATAGAACATCATGAAGATACATACAAATATAATATTGCATAAGCATATTTGATTTCTTTCCCTACTGAATATGTACCTTTAGCACTTGACAAAAATTCCCAAGAGTAAAAGAAAAATCTATTTTTAAGATCTACCTCTAATCTAAGCTCATATTTTCATTAATTTAATCTATTTTTCTTATGATGTGATGAACCAAATTTAAAATTTTGACCATAGATTTTTCTTGCAGTGAGTACAAATTAAAGGCTCTTACATAATGGGCAAATAAATGTATAGGAAACAAACATTTTTAAGGGTCACAGCTCATTGACATATTATGAATTAAGTACAAGAAAATTTTATTGTTTATGTTATACCGAACTGAGAAGCCATTTGAAAAATGTGAAAAATGAGATTCTGACTTCAATAAAAACAAACACAAATTAAATTTGCTAAATAATATGGATGATTCATAAAGAATAGTTGTTACAGATTTCAGAGTATCAAAATTAATGGGGTGTCACAAAATAAAATTTGGTGAGAAAATATCTATAAAAAGGAGAAAATATGAGAAGAAGAATATTATTCAGTGAGAAAAATATGTTTGGTAAAATATATATGGGTGGTAGACACTGCAATTATAGACAGCATATATTCCAAATATGTTTTTAGGAAATACTAGTTCAGATAATGTTCAGATGTTTAGCAATGTAACTTATCTCATTAGAAATTAAATATTAAGTGTTTTACAAAGAGCAAATTTTCATTTTTTCCCATAATCTTTATTTTTAAATAAATAAAAGATTTAGAGTATAACTGTTAATAATAGATAACACTATTACTTTGCTTTTACTAACAAACACTCTATTTGGCTTAATTATTATTGGAAATTATATTTCTGCTATTTTACCTGCTGAAAATGACCTGGTGGCATTATAGTAAAAGTTTACATTTTGCCAATGATATGAACAACATTTGATACATCAAATAACATCTGTCTGATAGATGGTAACATGTTTATTTGTTTGAATATAGAACATATTTAGTTTGGTCTTGGTATATCTTGTCAAGACTTTGAAAGGTATCATTAAGGTATGGCTTTTGGGAATCACTAATAAACTAGCATCTGGAGAATGAACACAAATATCAAGATGCTAATTATTTAGAACTCAGACACAAGACAGATATTTGGGTAATTTATTTTCTGATTATAAATTCATCTACAAGAGAAACAGAAAAGAATATAAAAGTATGATTTACTTTCAGTGAGTTGTTTTTAAAATAAGTGTTATAGATCAATAATGAAGGACTTTTACTAAAATAATTTTCAAAAAGTTAAGATTTTCAAAAATATACTGGCACACGAATACTACTTGTCATAAAGTAATAATGAGTGATGTATATGTATAGAAAACAAATTCAACACAAATCTGGATCTCTTGTTCTTGTCATCAGCACCTGCTGTCTAATGGGTCGAGACAAAATACTGTGCCTTCAAGAGTTAGTCCCATTTTGAACCCCTCCTGTAAAACAGAGTAAAATAATTAAAATAGGAAATGCTCCTGGCAATCACAGTAATAATAGTAATAGCAATAATAATGATACTCAGGAAATAAAGAGTCTCTGAATAGAAGTTGAAATCTTCATGCTTTGATCAGCTAAGAAATAATATGTTAAATGCTGGTTTGTCAAATTTTTACATTGGTGTATATCCAGACGATCATGTACACCCTTTAGCATTTTAAATGTTTTAAATATATGTGAAGTTAGCATGCATGAAAGACAAAAGAAAACAGAAATATATGGAGTTAAGTAGTTTTAAACATAAATGTTTCTATATTTAAAAATCTGTTATGCCATTCTACTATAGCTTAAATCTCCTCTGTTGGCTTTGAAGATCGATATTCATTTAAATATAAGTAAGATGGCTAGACCTTAAGTTTGATGAAAGGTTCCAGAAAGCCTGATAGTTTCTTCTTTTCTTCCTGGTTGCCACTGTCCAGAGCTGAGTAAAATACTTCTAGTAAACACAATGCCATATCCTAAGGCAGACCACTTTGTAATGGAGGACGCTTCCTCTACTAATTCTGCTATTTCTTACAGTTGCAAGTTGAGTCTCACTCCCCCAAAGCGTGTTTTAGATGTTTCTGAAGTTAAGTTGTCTCTGATTTATTGAGAGTCAAGTACACAATTGCTGTGAAAGGTTTTCTTCCTCCTAAGATTTTGTTTTAAAAGTTAGTGGCAAATGGTGCCTAGGTGGCTCAGTTGGTTGAGCGTCTGACTTCAGCTCAGGTCATGATCTCACAACTCATGGGTTCAAGCCTCCTGGAGCCTGCTTCAGATTCTGTGCGCCCCCCCCTCCCCTGCCTCGCCCTTCCCCAGTTCTGGCTGTGTCTCTTTCTCTCTCAAAAATAAACATTAAAAAAAAGTTAGCGGCAAAAGAGTTTGTCCTCTACTCCAAGCTCTCTTATTTTTTACATAAGGTAATGGTCTATCTCTAGTTTTCCATCTCCTCTCTCCCCACCCTTGCCCTTAATCTATGCACACTGGCCTGCAAAGATATAAAAAGTATGGACTCACATTAATCAGAGGAACTGGGAGCCACATTTTAGGTTTCTTTGTTGAAAAGCACGGTGGCAGTTATCTATATAGATACTTTACCTTTCTCTCTCACTAATAGAACTGAAAGTTTGTTCAGGGAGGTACTTTGTAATTTGGGGTGAACATGTGCCACATTATTGGTGAGTGAAAATGTAAACAGCCTATTCCTGTGGAAAATAAAATGTCACTCAGAGAGAAGGCTTTTGTCTTCTGTTCTCCTTTGCATTTTATTTCATTAGACTATTTCTACTTGTGTGTTGGCCAGTTGTATATCTCTTTGCAGTCTCCCAAATTACCTTCATTTACAACAGGTGTCTAATGTACTTATCTTTTTACAAATCCAGTATAAATATTATCATACAAATCCAGTATAAATATATATCAATATATATATATCATATATAATGAAAGAAAATCATTATAAAACTGCAAGCCACATCTCATTCGCTGTTAACATTGAGAATGTTCTTCATTATATATACATTATAAAGGCCACATAGCAATGCCACCACTAAAAAGGTTTTTCAAAACTTTCTCAGAGCTTACAGTACAAATTATAGTTAGTTGAGTAATAATCAGAGTACTTACCGTTATTTTTAAAAAAACTGTTCTTATCACAGGAAGAAATATTTTGCCGTATGTATGCATGTATTTTAAACAGCTGCCAAACACTTAGAAAAGTCAATTCTTTAAGATGAAGATAGTATAAATTAACTAATTTTATAAGTATTTTATTTGGATATGTGAGGATCTGTGTCCTAGGTCATCTTCTGATATATTAGGTAGATGGATGGATGGATGGATGGATAGATAGAGATATAGATACATAGATAGATAGATAGACAATGTGGATATATTTTAACCTTGGAAAGGTTTGATACCATACAGTGTTTTAAAATGTTTCTCAGTTCATTCTGAAATTAAACCACTATCACTTCAACTACCCTGAAAATAATGTGTTAGTAGTGTTTGAAAGGCAGAACAGCAATCAAGGTAAAATAGGGATTGATCTCTATATCAATAATTTAAATAATGTATACTTCTTACAAGAATATCTCCATAGTGATTTAATAAGGATCATTTGGAGTCCCCTTACATGAACTTAACCATACCCATTAATGGACACATTGTTATATTGCTCATTGATTTTCTTTACTCCTCAGATAAAATTTCTCATAGTGTCTAATCTTCTCTCCTAGGTCTCATTTAGTAAATTATGATTCGATGACCACTGAATCTTCCTCAGGTTTCCATGTCCATTTGAATTTTAAAATTCTGAATAAAAATGAGCTTTTATTTTATTTATATAGTGATAGAAACTATCATAAATTAGTATTATGCAAAATATTATTAATATATTACTTATTAACAAAAGAATAATTTTATTAATGTATTATTTTCTCAATATATTATTCATATGAAATGTTATAATATCATATAATTTAGTATGAAATATTTTGCCCAGTCACATGTTCTTATTTTGAAATAGGGAGAAAAGCATATCAAGGAAGGAAAACCACTCTTACATATGAATTGTTAACATATTGATATATGTCCTTTGAGTCTCCTTTTTTCTATATATAGATATTTAAAAACAATTTTAATAACAGTATTAAAACACTATATATTATATAGAACTTTCTTATTTATTTTAATGTATCACATGTATATATATATAATTTTCTCTAATTTTTAACAATCTTTGTAGAGCAAACATTCTATATTGGGTTCCCATAAAGCTAATGATTATATAATTTTCTATTAACTTTTTTAAAATATAAGTAGAGTTGATACAAATTTATATTAGTTTCAGGTGTACAACATGGTGATTCACTATTTACATACATGAGGCAATTCTCATTTTATGCAGTTACCATCTGTCACCAAAAAAGTTACTGTAATATTATTGACTATATTCCCTATGCTGTATTTCCATCCCTACGACTTATTTATTTTATAACTGGAAGTTTGTACCTCTTAATCCCCTTATTCCCACCGTGTCTTCACTACTCTTCCCTCTGGCAACCACGAATCAATTAACTTTTTCATGTGACTTGTTTCCAGTATTTTATAATTATGCATAAAGTTAACTAGATGTTTTTGTCCAGAGAGAGTTTCCTCATTTAGTCATTTCTTCTCAGAATAGACTTCATTGAAGTCTTTGATATCAAATAGAAATATACATATTAATAACAAATCTCCAGGGGCACCTGGGTGGCTTAGTTGGTTGAGCGTCCGACTTTCGCTTGGGTCATGATCTCGCGGTTCGTGGACTCGAGCCCCGTCGGGCTCTGTGCTGACTGCCAGCTCAGAGCCTGGAGCCTATTTCAGAGTCTGTGTCTCCCTCTCTCCCCCTGCGTTGGGGTCTGTGCTGACAGCCAGCTCAGATTCGGAGTCTGTGTCTCCCTCTCTCTCTGACCCTCCTTTGCTCACACTGTCTCTCTCCCTCTCCCAGAAATAAATAAAAATATTTTTAAAAAAATAACAAATCTCCAAAGGGATGCTATGAACGCACTCTGGCCCAGTGATGATTGAGTGCTTGTCCATCACATTTTCACTTGCACTGATCATTCGTAAGGAAATAAAATATTCAGTTGGCTTGATTAGAATAGCATTTCTAGCTCTTTGTTTAATTTGTATATTTTCTTTGATTAGATTGAATACATATCTACATGCATGTTAGCTCCTGTGGTCTTTTGTGAACTACTGCTTTTTTATTTATCTGATTTATCCTCTTACTTTAGTTATGTTTTTGTGATATATTTATATGTTTTTAAAAAGAAAAGAAAAAATTACAAAGAACTATAGAAATTCTTCTGTGTACATATTTTACATTTACATTAAATGTGTACACTTAAAATTATGTCCATGTTTTCCTTTTCTGTATTAAAATTTCTTTCCAACTCAAAAGTCTGGTAAATATTCCAACTGTATTTTAACATTTTAAACTGACTAATCTTTCTGAAATTTACTTGGATATTTGTTGAAAGTTATAGCTGTTCCTTGATCTTCTACCAAATTATTAGCTAGTTGACTTAACACCTCTTAATGCAAAATTCTTTCATTCTTCACTGAGTTGCCATGCTTCTTTTTTAGTGTATTAAATTATTACAACTTAGAAGGTATACTTCTGGGCTATCATTACTATTTTATTGATTTCCCTGCCAGTGACACATACCAGAAAGTTTAAACTATGTCAAATTAAATAACTACATTATTAATTTCAAATATATATATTTAATTTTCCAACAATTTATAATGAAATATGGCTTAAGATTTCAGCTTAAATTCCGACATGCACAAGATATTTTTGTGATTTCCTCTGTAAATGAAAGAGAAAACCCAACTATCTCACTAGGCTTATTAGCTCATTATTTATACAACCCACTGTACTCTACTGTTTTTACATTATATGCAAAGATAAAAACAGTAGCCAAATGTGTGCATTAGATTAATTAGGTTTACAAGATTAATAACAAAAGTTGTCACAGGCTTTAGATAAATAAAATATTATTTTACTTTAGTTAAAGTGACCTTGCAAGTAAATTTTGAACTAAGGAAAAAAAAGAAAAAGAAAATAGACAAGCAATGAGGTAGACAATGCAATAATGACTATATCACTGACAAAATAACTGTAGAATATGGGTTATGAAACCTCTTTAAACACAACTAAGAATCAGAGACATCCATATGAAACTGCTGTTTGAATATTTATTATAAAAGTAGAGCATGCAAATATTAAGGTTTTAGCTTTAAGGAGGTGTAAGTTGTTTAAAATTATTATGAAAATAATATACCAACCATCTCTGGCGCTAACCACCATGAAAGCAGAAAAGAATAAAAAAGACATTAAGAAAATATTAGAAATGGCAAAAAACAAAAACCAGAGCAAAATACTATAGCTTAACATTATTTAACTAACACGTCACTAAATCATTCCAATATAGTGTCTCTCAAAGTTAGTTCCTACAAAAATCTGGAGATGTAGGCTTATTTTGAAAAATCTATAGAGTTTTTTTCAGTTTTGTGTAATTAAAAAACATTAATAGACAAGTACTCTTTATGACTTTAATGCTTGGGAACAAACACCACTGTACCCATGTTTGTGTTCGTTCTAATAAAAGCATTAGTCCCAAGTAGCACAAACCTAATTGGTAAAACTATTGAAAATGGAGAGGAATTGATTTCATACGAAATAAAGTATTCTTGCTAAGTAATCATGCACTATTTGAATAAAGTTTCATAGTATTTGAAATATAGAAAAGAGGGAGAGAAATTGTACCATCAAGCAGGATACATGCTGAAATCAACAGAAGTTTGATACCAGTTGTTTTAGTTTTAGCCAAATAACATCATCCATATTGTTGAAGTTCTTAATTCAAATTTTATTAGGTGGTTAAATTTGCTATTATTTAATTTATAATTTTTGAATTAATAGTTGTATAGGAGCTATAAGAATTACTTATGTATGTATAACTTTTCTGGTAAGTATTTAAGAAATAACAGTTTAAGTCAATATAAAGAATTTAAAATAATTTTTTCATGTAAAAGGAAATTATGAATCACCCAACTTGAGAAATGCTGTTTTAACATATGCTTTGAAAATCTCAAGGCATATGTTAAATAATTCAACTTTTAAGAAGCAGGCATTATTATTTCTAGAACAATAAGGAAATTCCCCTAATACCTAGTGCTTCATAGCTGTAGTCCAAAATGAGTGGAAGGATATTTATATTATCTTTCTAGAAAGGAGTGTTTCACTAGTGTTAGTTGATCAGAATCTATCATTATTTTTTTTGTCCAGGAAATGAAGCATAGAGAATGCATTGCCTATAAATGACAACAACCCCTTCTCTTCACTCACTGCTTCTTCTCAATCAGCTTTATATAATTGGTCTTTGCCTACATTCTACCATATACAAAGTCTTTTCAATAAAAAAAAAAAAAAGGATATAATAGGGGCACCTCGGTGGCTCAGTCAGTTGAGCATCCAACTTCGGCTCCGATTATGATCTGATGGTTTGTAAGTTTGAGCCCGGCGTCAGGCTCTATGCTGACATCTCAGAACCTGGAGCCTGCTTCAAATTCTGTATCTCCCCCTCTTTCTGCCCTTCCCATGATCATGATCTGTCTCTTTCTGTCTCTCAATGATAAATAAATATTTAAAAAAATAGGACATAATAACCACCAAAATGTTAAGGTAAAATATAAAGAGAAGACTTTTGCATGGTGCTTTTAAGACTATTTATTAATCATAGTCCACTGTATAAAGCTTTTAAAATCAACACCTTCAAACTTTCAGTACAATTCAGAATTGAAAAATAAAAGAGGGAGAGAGAAATGAAAACCCAATTGGACTACATTCCTGAAAAAGTTGTCAATGGGTGCCTGCTTTTTCAATAAGAGCCCAGAAGTTATGAGCCATAACTACAATGCTTCTTTTAAAAGAGACAGATTTTACTCTCACAAAGATTTTACTTCATCTACCATGCACATTTTGAAATTTATAATATTAAAAACTGAGTTGAAATCTTATAAATCTAGTACAATGACCCTGCTATTTTTGGATTTCAAAGTAATGAACCATTAGAATCCATGCAATTTTGTATAAAAAAAAGAACCATCTGATTGCCACCGTAAACTGCACTATTAAAAACAAAACAAAACAAATAAAACCTTATACTTAGCATCTGTAGGTATATTTTTAGGACTAAATATATATTGTTATCTTAAAGTAATTGTTTCAAGTAAGTTTGCATAGTGATAATAATTCAAGGAAAGGGTAGTTTTGATATATAACATTCTCTGTGTCTCATATTAAAAAGAAATAAACCATTTATAAGCCAATCTCTTAAAACAGTCACCTGCATCTCATCTAATTTTGATTGAATATCTGGAGGGAAATCCCCTGCTCCACAGTTAAATGGGTCAAAAGGTTCTGCTCCAAACAAGTCCCGTTCTAAAAGGAGAGAAAATAATTTAGTAAATGAAATGGCAGAAAGTGAGTTGAGTGAGTTAGGCTTCAAAGCAAGATTATGTAAAGAACTACCCACATGAGCAAATGAGCTCCTATCCACAAACACTTTATACTGGGCTTCCCTGAGCTTAGACTAGTTAAACGCTAACAAAGAAGCAAAGATCCATTTTATGACAGTATTAAAAACTGGTTACAGAGAATTATTATCCAGAGAGGTTTCTGTGTCTTTAATTAAGACTTCTCAATATTAAATTCACCAAATATTTGATAATTACTATATTACAATACCTACATTTTACTGAAGCAACTTAAATTATAATAATGAATCACTTTTTGAGACTTCTCTACTCCTTACGGATGCCCTTGTAACACAATAGTGAAGCAATATGTGGGACTGAGCAGTTGGTAAGTAGTTTACTCATAGCTCGTGATACCTTAATTTCACATTTATTCAGAAAAAATTTAAGGCACATTGTCTCATGTACTATGAAATCGTATCACCTCCTTAAATAAACAGAATGGACAGGTTCTTTAAAAATGTCTCCTATCCTAGAAACAGATTTCCTTTAAAAATTACCAATAATGAAATATCAAGTAGCTCTCTGTACATAAATTCTAAAGTATGCATTTTTTAATAACTAAGGAAGTATCTAAGTTAAAATTGATGTTTATAATGTATAAAATTATGGCCCATTATATCTCTTAAAACTTTTTAAGTTATGAAAATCTTTCCTCTGAATTATTCTAATGCAGCCTTAATTGACACAACTTTTAAAAAATTATATAGGTACATGGGAATTTATAATGTATTAAGCTTTTATTTGTAAAAAAACCTATATTCTCAAAATTCATCCTATGTAAGAAATAATATTTATGCTCTTTCTTCTACATATCCTCTAAGTTAATATCTAACCCTCATTATGACAGACTCTTGCTTTTCTAGCTATAACTTTTTTTTCAGATTCATAAGTAAAATATTTTTATAATTTCCTGGTGCTGGTAAATATTATATGAGTAAGAGGGATATTTACTTTATCATCCAAATAAAGACACTTAAGTTTTAAGATAAAAGGAATGCTTCCAACAGTTTCACCGAGACAAAAGGGATAAACCAGAACTGTCCTAAACAAATGGAAATTCATTGACATCTTATATGTGACATATAGGTATTATATATGGGTATTATATTATATATATAATCACCTTATATTTATGGTGTGATTATTGATGTTATTTATTTTCCTCAGTCTGATGTTACTTAGGAAATAAACCAGAACTTGAAGAAGAGAGGAACTTCTCTTTGGAGGAGTGCCTTGGTTACCCCCACACCATAAGCACGTCCAACAATGCTTTTACACATAAAGACGTTTGTGGAAAGAAATGAATTAATGAAAATGAAGTCGAGTTGACCAGGGGGATTAGAGATTTTCATTACAGGCATATCTCAAGTTATTGTGCTTTGTTTTATAGTGCTTCACAAATTGTGTGTGTGTATGTATGTGTGTGTTACAAATTAAAAGGTTTGTGGCAACTCTGTATCAAATCTGTCGGTGCCATTTTTCCAGTAGCATTTGCTATAAAGATAGATAGATATGGTATAGGGGTATCTAGAATTCTCTATCTATCTATCTATCTATCTATCTATCTATCATTGTATTTAGTCAATTTTTGGCACTCAAGATCATTAGACATTAAAAAATAGAGCAAGGTGTTACTTCAGTTTTTTAAAACCATTTGAGCATCTCTGTCTAGATTTTCCAAAAGCAGATCAAACTTATCAATGTCTAAAATGGAACACATTTTCCCCCTTCTCCATTTCTAATTTTTCCTGTTAACAACATTTGGTCTAAAATCTTGAATCATAATTATTTTGAATTCTCAATCACCATCCTGATAGACTATTCCTTCTAAGTACTTTCAAATCTATTGCTCTTCTTCAATTTATATTTTGACTTGCATTAAAACCCTCTTTTGGAGATCAATGGCTAATTTGTATTTCAAATTCCATATTGCAACCCATGTCTATCATATGTGTTAAACAAATGCCCAATGGACTAAATAACTGAGTGAGTAAATCAATGTTGAAATCAAAGAAGTCAAAAACAGTAAAGGAAGAGATGTGGGACACTCACAAGGACAAAAAATACCCCATTATGATATCAGGATATTGGCAACATTTGCTAAAAACACACTATGACATGTATATTATGGATTATTCTCTGAAAAAATATTCTGCATTGGCACAAAACATATTCACAGGAATTTAAATTTATGTTTCAATTTATGTACAAGGTTGACATATTTTTGTAAACTGATTTTTAAAGTTTTTGATGATATTCGCTAAAATTTATTGAAAACTTAACGTGTGTAGTATACTTGGGTAAGTTCCACAATGAGAAACAAATAAATTAAAGGCCCCGACATACTTTAAGCCCTAAGCCAAAACTTCAGAGTTATATTGAAAATGTCTTAATGTGAACTAGAGAGGATGCAATAAACCAGAAGATGCAGAGCTCTCTTTTCTTCTGTTTCCTTCAGATGCAATGACTGATCATGGATGTTGGGGAATATTCTTTAAGTTTCTGTGACATGGTGCAGATCAAAATACAATCAAGACATTGAAAATGAGCATCTGTTAGATGCTTTCTAATTCAATAAGAGACTATAATGTCCCTTCCAAATGTATAGAAAGTAAATCAGTAAAGCAATGCATGTACAGTATGTTAGATATCATGTAAAAAATCCTTATATAGGGGTAATAAACAAACAATTCATATGAACAACCCATATATTTACATATTTCTTTAACTAAGAGTGTCCATATACTCTATGATAACAAACAATTTAAACTGAACTCTATTAAACGTGTTGAAAATATTAAAACAATTACCACCAGAGTTGTTTTTAATCATTAAATTAAAACATTAAAAGTCTAACTCCAAATACAACAAAAATGTAATTTAATATTTTGCATTATGATATATATAACCCCATCTCATTTTTCAAAAAATTGTTTCCAATGCAATACTGCTGTTTTTAGTAGCATACTCTGAAATATAAAGTAGAATATGATGAACTGATTTGGCACATCTAACATAATTCTTTGGTAATAAACACTTTTAGTGAGCCTAAGATATATAATTTTCCATAGTGTTTATTAAACATTTACAATGTACACAAATATAGCAAAGAATATTGATTTCTTTAGAAAGCTTACTAATTTCAGTAGATCTACTAGGTATTGGAGGTGGCCGTGTGCCGTTGCGAGTAGGTGTTGAAGACGGGTGTGATATTGGAGAAAATGGTATCATATCGAAGATGTCAGTGGAGGGTGACTTAGGAGTCACACTGCCCGCCTGCAGTGAAAATAATACGAATTAAGGCAGTATTTCAGGGAGACACATTACAGTGCTATTTCATGTGCATATAAAACATATGTAAAGAACAACAAATTCAGCTGAATCAGACGAACTTGCCATTTTATAGAACAAAAATAGTTAAATGTTGGCAATCTCATATGATTTAACCAGACACACCAAATGCTTATTGGCAAGAAAGCAACGGAAAATTTCTGCAACCATGATCTCAAAGATGATGGCAAAAATGGTGACAAACTATTCTAGATAGATATAAAAGATACTGGAGTTTTCTATATATCTAGAAATAATTGCCATGTTTATCAGAGGATTGGAAATATTAGAAACTATATAAAAACATGATTTTAATAATAGATTTAGCATAAGATTATGTTTTAAACAGAGATAACTGAACATAAACAATGCATCTTCTTATATATTACCATTCAAATGATAACTTTAAAAATTTTTTTAAAGTATGTTTTAATTTGTATGTATAACTACAATAACAGCTAACTATTATACTTACTGCAGTGCCTTTTATTCTTGGTTAAGAGTTCATAGTTTTCTATGATAAATTGCTATCTTGTGAATTAAATTAATAATCAGTAAAAATACCACCCAAATTATTAAATTATCTGGCCAATCTGGGCCAGGATGTAAGGTAAGAATGAAACAATCATCACTCTGCCATTCAGGGGAAAAATACACACACACAAAGGCACACACAATCTATAAAAGAAAGAGACTTCCTATTTTGGAGGAGAATAAAAACTTGTTTTTCCTTAAAGAACATGAACAGAGATTACTTAGAATGTTTCTTAGTAAAATTAGACTCTTCAGAATACATTTATTTTTCTGATTCACAGATAATGAAGGCAATGGAGGAAAAATAAGTTTGATTGTACAGAGTAACAGATATGCTATTCAGTTAATATGGTCATTAGCACATTTTTTTCATGCAGAAAAATTGCTGTCATCTCCTTTTCTTTAATACCTTGCTCACTTTATCAGTCACAAACACTGTTCAAAGACTTTGAGGCAACTTTATCCCTCAGCTCTTTCCTCCTGCTCAGGAAGAGTTTTCCTAATGAACCCATCCTTCTATCTGCCCTGGCTTCCCTCTCTCTCCTCTTTCTCAGGATATAAAGATACTCAAATCTTGACTGTTGTTAAAAACAAAGCAAACCAATCAGAATTGTCTTTACTCTGTCTCTCTTTACTCTCTAGCCTCTCATCTCTCTTACTCTTTCCCCCAAGGCTAAGCTCCTCGGAAGAGGTACTAACTCATATCAGTTAAGACTTAGCTCTTTTTTACCAAATGTAGCTGAAACTGCTTTTACCAATATCACTGATGACCTGACTTCCCAGTTACTATATCAGTGGGTCCTTTGAAATTACCTGTCCTATTTTGTCTCTCTGTGAATATGGACACAATCACCACTCTTTACTTGAAACTCTGATATCAGGTAAAAGGAAGTAAAAATGAATGGCACACAAAGTCATCAGGTCACATCACATGGACTCTGGACATACCTGATTCTTTTTTCATTACAACATAAATGGCACATTTTAGTAGACTTTAAAAAACATGTGTGGGATAATAAAAAAGGCTTTTGTGCTTAGCAAATTACATGAGGTCTTGGGATGCTGCTCTCACTGATTGGCTTGGGATGACCACATTTAGAAGGTGGTGGTATTAACAGTCCCAATGACAGTCTGGAATCAGGCGAGTTGACAGGAGTGACAGTAATGGAAGAAATATTGAGACAGGAAGGTGAATCATCATCACTACTACGCCAGAAAGAGGATGAGCATCTCTGAAACCCATGTTGCTCATGATCAGACACTCTGTGCAGCAGCTGTAAAGGAATGACAGAGAAATACACTAAGGAGAAGAAAGAAGACATGGAGGAAAAAGGAAAAAGTATATATGAAAATTTATTTGTAAAATGATATTTTGTGAAAGGGGTAATTTCAAAATAACTTTGCTAAAAATTTAAAAAATTGAATAAAAAATTGTGTATAATTTTCTATTGCAATCGTCCTCAGATTCAGAAATGTTTAATTTGACTATTTTTCACTGAAATATTACATTTTTAGATATTTAAATAAAATATTGCAAGACTAGAATCTGAGAGGAAGACAATAAAGAGGAAAGTTTTATGACTTATTTCGATTAGAGCTTTTGTGTAATGATATGGGAAAAGGAAGCAAAATAAGAAGAAAAAAACATTTACTGAAGTAGGAATGTCTAGCAAAAAGTAATGACTTTGTAGAATTTTCAAAAAGGGTTTCAACAATCATTTTAAATTTAATACTCAAAACACTCTTTTGAGATATAAGCATTAGTAATATAATTACTAATGTAATTAGTAATCCTTATTGTAATAAAGATATGGGAATTAAGGCCCATGTATTCTTTGTGATTTATTCCTATATGAGATAAGAAGCAGAGCCTAAATTCAAAACAACCTGACTGCAGTCAACACCACTTTCCTATGGGTAGTGAGTTCCAAATGGCAAGATTTCTCAGGAATGGGCAATCCTGAATTAATAATAAATAATTAGATAATCAGTAAGCGGTACGCTGTATTGGGTCTGCACATCAGTTTTTGGATGGCTTTTATTAGTTATTTCCATTACAGTATGGAAAGCTACTGTCAAAAGCTGAGCTAGAAACAACTGAGCTGCCAGACGTCAGAGTGGTCAATGAAAACAACAAGCCAAAATGAAAGTAATAATTAAGCCTTTATTATTCACTTATTGCTGTCGTATAAGCAAGAGGCCAGAAAGAAGATGCTGGCCTCATCAAGGTCCCGTCCCGCCCCCCCCCCCTCCGCCAGGAAATGGAACTGGATGAAGGTCAGAAGTATTAGTGCAAAAGCAAAGCATTGTCTCTCTGTTGAGGGAGCCCTGAACTAAAGGTCTTGCTGACTTGGTGTTGGCGTCCTTGTTGTTATTTTTGTTGCTGTTATTTTGAGGGGAGGGGGCAAGACAGGGAAAGAAAAGGAGGAAGGGCTAGGAGTAGAAAAGAACTGAATTCTGAATCATTGTGGAGAAAGGGGTCTTCAAGGCCCTCATAAGATGGTCTTGACAGACGCTTTATGAGAAGGCCATGGCCAAGGGCCTCCAATAAGAAGGGCTCTGAATGCAGGCACCTGGGCTAGGAATGCAGTATGTGTAAGAGCATGGCTGGCAGAGGTTGAGGGGGCAGAGTCCTTGACTGCAACTCCTCCATACTGTGCACTAAATCTGGTGTCGGGAGGGCAGCTTCACCCCCGTGAAACTTGCCAGGTGAAGCCTTTGTAGTTGCCTGTGACTGGGCTGCCAGGACTGGGCCTGGAGCTAGACTCCTCAGCTACAGGTCACACTTCAGAGATTGTTTTAACACGGAATTTCAGGTAGCCCACACAAACATGGCTTTTGATAATTTCATAGTGAATTATAACCAAAATTATAGTTAGGGAAACCCGCAAATTTGAAGGAAGTTTTGAAGTTGGGAATCACTTCTTCACACATTTCTCAAGGCAGAGGAGAAAATCAGGCAGTGTAAAGTGAGAGATCTAAGTTGAAGGGTTCAGTGTGGAAGCAAATCTCTGATGGTTTGAGTTATATAATTCATCATTCTATTAATATGCATACAGTGTTGTATATGCATTGTTTTCCCTATTGACCTCCATAGCAATCTATCTGTAGATATGTATACATGTATGCATATATATATATATATATTATAATTTAAAAATCTATTTTATAATCTACATAGTTTACTGTAGAATTTGGTGATTGGTGATCACCATTTACTTTAAGTGACAACTGTAAGCTCCTTGTGGGCAAAGTTCTTCTAGATTTTATCTAAAACAAGTATTTCCAGGGCATCTGGGTGGCTCAGTCGATTAATGATCTAACTCTTAGACTCAAGTCATGATCACAGGGTGGTGAAATCAAACCCTACATTGGAATCTGCACTGAGCATGGAGCCTGCTTAAGGTTCTCTCTCTCTCTCTGTCTCTCTCTCTCTCTCTCTCTCCCCCTCTCTGCGCCTTCCCGTCTCATGCATGCGTGTGTGCTCTCTCTAAAAAGTAAATATAAATAAATAAACAAAAGAAGTATTTTCTAAACGGCTATATAACACATCAGAGTTGCAGACATATAATAAACCGTCAAAGTATATTTATTGTCTAATTTATACTACAGCACCTTTTTTTTCCCTTAAATAGGCTTCATACTCAGCATGACCCCAATGCAGGGATTGAACTGACAACCCTGAGATTAAGACCTGAGCTGATATCAAGAGTCAAACACTTAAATGACTGACCACCTGGGCACCCTTATATTAGAGCAGTTTTTAAACTTGAAACTGAAAATTGATAAGAATATTTATGTTGAGTAAAGCATAATAGGATATTCAGTGGAAACTGTTCTTGGTATCATCTGGCTTATAACATAAATGAGGGTACTCTATATTATTTTATGACTTAGATTGTTCAAAAAATCTTAACCAGTTACCTCAAAACCAATGAAGGCCAAAATAACCTAAGTTATAAGTGCTCTAGTGTTTTATGATAGTGTTAATATTATGCCTTCTACTTACTCTGAGAATGTATACTTACATAATGTGAAAATAATCAAGTTGTCAAATACACCAATTAAGAGATATTTTCACTTTCAAAATGGTAAAGCTGGGATATCTATCAATAGTTGTAGTATCTAAGACTCTACCACTAACTATCACAGGTTTACTTAGCGTCAGTAATGAAGTTTTGGTCAACTGTATTTATTGCTTGGGTCAAACAGATCTCTTAAAACATTTAATCAGTTACTTTCAGGTAGTATTAAGAGACTGCAAATTAAAATCTGGAGCTTTTCTTGAGAAGTTAGAAAATCTAGAAAGTGAGCCCATAGACTTGCTTGAAAATAACTGACTGGTAGTAACTGCTATGCATTTTAAGTTGGGTATATGCTCTCTAATTCATCACTACCACCATATACCCATTACACATTTATGTCACAGCTTGGGCTGCACTGACGTCTTGAGTTTGTGATTCCTAACTTTGAAATGATACAAGTCAAGGAATTAAATATTACATCTGTTAAATATTTTGAGTGGTGTTTCTAAATTTAGGGGGTCAGGAGCTAGTCATGTTTTAAGCTGCCAGTTTTAACTCATTGAGGATATTTATTTAAGAAATTAAATACATAGTTTAGATGAAAACAGCTTGATATATTTATTTTGGGTCTTCTGTCAGTATTTTGACAGATGGCTAGAAACCAAAATTTTTGCACTCTCTTACAGAAATTCATGGCACCACTCTTTAACTAGTCCCTTATGATCATAATTTCAAGTGCTTTGGTCTTTATGAAGGTGCACAGGATCTGAATTATTAAGCTAAGGAAACAAGAAGCTCTATGTTCAACCATTACATGTTAATTGCACAGACATGGTTAGGTTATTAAGGCCTATTAATAATGCGTGCCCATATCTGAGATTCATTGTTGTAGTTTTGTAGCTTACTCTTTCAGTAAGCAGTGGCTTGGTGCATTTAGGCCATGATGAATATTTCAATCTTAGCCTTGTTTAAATATGACAGCAATGATGAAGTGTCATAGAAGGCTTTGAACTCTCAGTAAATGTTAAATACAGTTAAACAAGAAAAAATTACATTAAACAATTCTGTGGTAATATCTACAGAAATATTAGAATGATATCAAAATCAGGGCACCTGGGTGGCTCAGTTGGTTGAGCATCTGAATCTTGATTTTGGCTTGGATCATGATCCCAGGGTCATGGGATGGAACCCCATGTCAGGCTCTGTGCTGAGCATGGAGCCTTCATGTGATTCTCTCTTTCCCTCTATGCCTCTCCCCTACTTGTGCACTCTCTCTCTCTCTCTCTCTAAAATACAAAATTTAAAAAAAAAGAATGGTATCAAAATTTTATTTTAGGCTGTTAATTGTTTTGATAATATAAATATCCAAATATCCTTTTAAAATGTAAAACACCTTTAATATTAAAATATGATTTAACATCACTTAGAATTATTAAATTTACAAATATTAGAATTAAATTTACAAAGTAAATATTTAAATTTATATTTAAAGGATGATATCTAAATTTTTCTAGTTGAAACACTGGTAGATTATAAATAACACTAAAGATGAGGAAATACAATTGTGATGCATAATATTCTAGCAAATCTTTCTATACTGCCATGAAGATTCACACTTTCAAAATTCACTATTATGACATATTTTTAATATCACTTTAAGTTTTAATTTTTTTAATGTTTATTCAGTAAACATTGATGAATAAGAGAGACAGAGTGCTAATGGGAGAGGGACAGAGAGAGAGGGAGACATAGAATCTGAAGCAGGCTCAAGCTCTGCGCTGTCAGTACAGAGCCTGATGTGAGGCTTGAACTCATGAACGACGAGATCATGACCTGAGCTAAAGTTGGATGCTTAACCAACTGAGCCACCCAGGTATGCCATGGTTTAAAAGCATCATGAATGTACTTTTTTTTTTTTTTTTTTTTCAGATTTCTAGATTCACAGTTTGGGTGTATTGGTTACTTACTTGTAAGACCTATTATCTAACTTGTTCTTACAAGAATGTCACAAGTTATATGGATATGATTGTCTGCATATCCCAAAAAGGAAAACTGAAACAAGAAATTAAATGATTTGATCAGGTACTCATGGTTAGAGCTGGAATGGAATATATTTTTCTTCCCATTAGATACAGTTTACTTCTTTAGAATCATGTTTTGTGCAAGTAACAATTATGAAAATGAAGCCATGAACCAGTAATCATTTTTTGTGGGCAACAAATGTTCTTGAATCAATGTCATGTTTAAAA